AAGCCTTGAGAATTTTCTAATCGTACAAAAAAGGAGGTGATCTGCAACATCCAAATTTGGTAATATCCGAGACTGTACTATCGTACTAGCACTACTACAGCGTCCCTTGCGGTTATTTTGTCACATGATACTAACTACAGGGGTTAACAGTATTAAGTTTTTATTGATTAACGTTAATTAATTAATTATGTCACACAACAGTTAAAAAATTGGCGCCTATACATAAAAATGCATTTACTAATTTCCCCCAAGTTTCTATTGGCTGGGATTATTCGCACCAATTTACATACCACTTTCTATTTAAAATGCGACACCTAAGTTAGGGTTTGGGGTTAGCGTTGGTGGACAACCTTACACTAAAATTTAGCAGTGAATTTTTTTTGTTAGTGCCCAAAAGGTGATTTCTTAGGCGAAATTTTGAAATAAATGTAACTTTTCGATTGTTGTTTTGATCTTCACGTTACACCTCTGATTGGAAATTAGTAAACGCCATAAAAATATGTATGTTGGCTTTATTTGCGCGAGTAACACAAACCAAAAAGGAAATCGAATTTTGTAAGTGCGTAAAGATAAAGTTTAGGGAGTTAACATTAGAAGCTATAACAATAGATTGTTACTTGTTATACTTTTTATATGTAAAATTTCGTTTCTAATTTTTCTTCCTTCGCACGTGTTCGGAATTCATGTCGGGCTGATCCGGAACAGTCAAATTTTGTGCACTCCGATTGGCCATTTCCTTTTTAGTGGAGCTAGGCATATTTCACGTGGCTCTGTCCGCTTTAGACGACCCCTTTTTTTAGGGGTTGTATTACTCGCGCGTGCGTATTCAAAAGATCTGCGCCACAAATAGCGCTAGCACATTTCAGACGTGCGTTGTACTAAGTAAACTGATTCATAAAATTTTTTTTAAAATAAAATTAAAAATTGGTTGTCGCTGTGGATTAACTGAAACATTTGGAAACTTATTTTTCTCAAATGAATGTTTCAAATTTGTAGGACTCTGATTTATTATAGCTTAGTCGAAATAACGATGGGTCAAAAGAGCCAATGCTTTTTGCCTTTGTATTAAATCATTATCCCTTACATTGTTTTACAGTTAAATTTTTACACACGACGGATAGTTCCATATTATACCAGCAGGCAAATTTGCTGTCGATGTAAGGGATAATATCTTTTTTCTTAAAACGTAAGTTTTTTTTTCTAATAATATAAATATAACCACATTTACAGAAATAAAAAAAAAAATACATATATATATTGAGTATTAGTAACTGAAACGAAAAAAATTGGTTGTAATCCAAATAAGTGCATATCACTAACTGTCTATAGATAAATAAGTAATATTCATCCTGCATATTACTAATTGCCTATAGTTAATAATAATTCGTCAACATTGACCAACAAGAAATGATCTTTTTAAGTGCTATTTCTTGTAAAATGTATTTAGAACAAATTGATTGTCAAAAAAAGTGCACTAATGTAATCTGTTTTTTACGGAATTTAATATAACTAAATATTGGTCTTCCCGACGTTTTTATTAACCAAAGTTTAGAAACTAATAGCCATCAATGTAATTTACCCAAGAAACCGGAATTTTTTCGATTTAATAAAATTCAATCCATTTAAAGATTTTTTTTTTTTTTTAATCATCATAATCATCAGATTCATCACTATCGCTATAATCTTCATATTCAAAGTCATCATAAATTTCATCTATTTTCTCACCGTAATGTATGTCAAATTTGTCATCATAAGATTCTTCATCGGATCCTTCATAACACCTATATTCATCAATATATTCGCCCCCATCAAAAATAATGTACTCAATATTATCTCTAGCTTTTTCTAGATCTCTATCAGGTATATGCTTATTCGTATTAAGGTGTAAATTTCTCAAAGTACCAGAACAATACTTTAGTATAACTTCCAGATGCTTATAAGAAAAAGATTTATATAAGGCAAAGGAGAGTGTTCTCAATTCTTTGACGGCACAACTTTTCAAAAATGATTCTAACGAATTCGGTGTAAACCACCAATCCAAATAAAATATAAATGATTGAACTTTTCGTGGAAGTACTTTTCCAAGTTGTATAAGAATTTCGTTTCCATCTTCAGAAGTAATTCTACGTTTATTACCCATCAATGCCGTGTATTCATCTACATAAATCATATCATCGATATAGATTTCTCGTAAATCTTTACATACTTCTAATAATTCAATAAACTTTGGAATTTGACTTCGCTTGACGGTTGTATCTATTCTGGTAATTTTGGTGCAGAATTGTATGCATAGTTCAATAATCTTTACATTTGTATCAAGTCCTCGAAATCCAATTTCTCTCATTGTTTTGTTAGATCTAGATAAAACAATCCTAATAAAACCTACTGGAAAATTTCGACAATTCTCAACTTTAAATCTATGAATCTTTTGAAACGCTATTGGTTCAATTTTCGAATATGATGAAAACTCCAAGTTTTCACAATTATAAATTTTGAGAACTTCTAAGTTAGGAATGAACGCTAATTCTTGAAGTTGAAAGGGCCTACGTTCGTTAAATTTTATAGAAACTAATCTGACATCAATTAATGTGTTGAAATGTAAAGAAATTGATTTCCAAAGTTTACGAAAGTCCCTTTCGAAACTTTCAACAGACACGGCTTTTAGATTTTGTTGATTTTTAATAAAACATGCCATATTTTTAACTACCAAATCAATGCCGATGTCAATATTTATCAAGCAAACTTTTAATTTTTGAACTTTCTTAGAAACCGCCAAAGCTGATTGTAAAATGTTTGACAATTCCAGGGCTCCAGAATCACTAACATTACAATGAAATGTTCGAATTGCTGAAAGGCATGTTTCTGCTCCAAAAAAATTAAAGAAATTCACAAATTGTGTTTCATACAATGTAACTTTGTGAATTGCTTTCGACTTCATTATAAAATTTCCCAAAAGTGCACAATATATCGCCATTATTCTTCGTTCTTTCTCAATCAAATCAATATCTGGACGAATGGTTTGTTCGACCCAAACTTTAACACCTGACAATATTACATTAGGATCAAGGTGTCGTAAATAAGATGGATAATCAAATGCAATAGATGATGACGTCGTAACAAGTCCAAGATTTTTCAATACATTAGAAGGTAAACATTTAAGATATGTATCAATTAATAATTCGTATCCTTCATCCGTTTCACAGTTTTCAAAAGGATCACTCCAGAGCTCTGGTGTAAGAGTTTCGCACCAGTAACGATTAATCAAGACAAGTGAACGTTTAAAGCTTATACTATAATCTAAATTATTAAAACTATTAAAAATTTTTCGAAGACATGATTCCGGAAGAATAGCTGCACCCATTTTTTTTTTGATCAAATAAGTTGTTGCAACAAAGAATTTTTTGATATACCTTTTTATACTTGTCACGGGTTATTTCCGAAATAATGTTCTGAAAAGACTTAGTGCATTATCATATTAGATGCTTTACAGGTTGTAACCAAGTATTTACTAAATTTATCTTTATCATTATATATTTTTCGGTAGTAACATGTGACGACTTTACTTAAATGTATCTGTATATAAACCCCAAAATAGGATTATGATTGGTGGTCATTGTATGTACTATTATTAGCGTAATTGCACTGATTTTTTTGTTTTTTAGCGTCGGAGTTAATGACCGTGCTAGTGTAGATAAAGCAAGAGCTTTAACGTTAATCCATAGACAAGGCATGCCGAACGGTCTCCTAAGCGCAGATGCTAAATGACAAATCTATAAAAATTACTACGTACGGGGATTTGGTATGTATTATCTGATATTTTTGCACCCATGAATCCTGACATACCCGGTAGGATTCTTTGACCAAATCTTAAAAAAATTCAGCATTAAAGCTATCACAACTTACAATAAACCTTTATATAGTATATTATAAGAAACTTTTCTACACAATTATTATTTTAAATTTTCGGTTATCAAAGCCAATTCGTAACAATCATGATTTTTTTTGATTAAACCATCTAACGATAACAAAAGCTGAGGTTTAAAAGATTCAACATTAAAACTATCACCAAAACTTATGATAAAACGCTTTCTTTAAACAATTATAGTTTCAAAATTTTTGTTATTGAGGCCAATTCATAATGTACGCACATCTTTTAGCTAGAGTTTATAGCAAACAAAAGAAAAAATTTCTGCTAATAAAATAGCTAAAAGGAAAGTTACATGGGGTCTTTGCCTTGAAAATCACCCTCCGGCATTTCTAAAACAAACCCGAGTACCGGTTCATGTTTGTATGTTAATCATCTTTTACTTTATCGATTCAATAATTATTAGGATCAATAAAGATAAATGATTAACATATGGGCTGCCGTCAATAGAAATCAAGCAGATCTACATTTGAAAAAAAATTAATACCTTAAATTTCACAGCTCATATT